CCAACAGACAAAATAAAAATAACATATAAAAAGAAAAAAAAAAAAAAAAAAAAAAAAAAAAAAAAAAAAAAAAAAAAAAAAAAAAAAAAAAGAAGAAGACAGGGGTGTATGGGGTGGGGGGGCAATAAAAAAAATATATCTATAAAACTCTCCCCGGGAAAAAAAATATTTTTTTTTAAATGAAAGCCGAACGCGGGACTCGAACCCGCAACCTTGTGATTGGGGTGAATTCACGCCCGAAACAGGAAACTGAAAACGGGATCGTAAAAGTCACACGCTCTGACCAATTGAGCTAGCCCGGCTGGTCGATGACAACTGAAAGGTTGTAGTGGTTTATGTGCCTATCTCTTTTTCCAGTTTGTATTTATGGAACGAAGCAGCTGCACCACAAGGTAAGTTGTTGTTTTTGCTTGGTGGGGGAAGGGTGTCTGGTGATGGTTGATAGAAATGTGCTATTTAGGTCTGCAGGTATATATTTCTTTTTTTTTTCTTTTTGGAGAGAAAAACCGATACATACCAGATATATATATATATCTAACTACCGTGCAATGTTGCCATGCAATATTTAAACATTCAACTAGAAAAGAAAGAATTACAGTATACATCTATCTATTGAGCATCAGGCATCCGAACAGCAATATCACCCGATTGTGTAATGTATCGCACCCACGGCAAAGACGGGTATTGCAACTAAGTCAAGTCAGCCAACATATTCAAATCAACATACGGAAAGAGGGCAGTAGGGAAGCATACCTTCGGCTCCGTAATCTTCAAATACCGCACCTGAATCCCACTCGTCGTGAAATACGGGATCTCAAACTTCACATTAATCGGCCTCTTCGCCTTCCCCAACGAACCCGTTCCACCCATACTGCCACCAAACCCACCGGTCATACCACCGCCGCGCTCGTCGTCGCCCTTGACGGATGGAAGGCCCAGCTCGGCGCGCATGAGGAACTCCTTGCCGCCACCAAATTGCTTGATCTTCCAGATGATGGCGGATTGTTCGGGGGCGTAGTGCACGGTTCCGATGTTTGTGCGGAAGCGAGGGGAGTCTGCGTCTTCGGGGACGGGGACGAGGATTTCGACGTTGTTGGCGGTGCTGCGGCGTTTGAATTGGGCCTTGGCCTGTTTTTATTAGCGAGAATTCGTTTAAGAACTGGGGAGGATGGGGGGACCTTGAGCATGTATTCAATTCTCGACCCAGAGTGCGATTCCACCAAACACTCCACCCAGATCAACGGTTTCACCTGCGTGTTCAACCGGTAGCTCATGAGCTCAAACTCCCCATCCGGCGGAATAAAGCTGATCGTGCGATCGTTTTCGAACCGCGAAAGACGCACACATTGGTGGAACTTGACGTCTTCCATCTCCACCGCCTTGCCTCTCGTAGCGCGCCCCGTTGTCTCGAACATGACCTTGTCGTTCAACCCCAGACGCAGCTCTGGCATTCCACTCAGATAGCATTTCATCTTGACCGCGCCCAGGATCTCGGATCGCAGGACGTTGCCGGTTGCGGAGATGAGGAGGTTCAGGGATTCGACGACGTCGAGGAAGACTTCGTTCTTGCGGTAGCGGATTCCTTCGCTTCGCCAGGAGACGGCGTTGGTGACGGCGATTGGGGGGCGGGCTTGGACTTCGAGTTTGTGGGATTCTTGCGTGATGTACCTATCAGGTCAGCTGTGCTCAGTTTATTTCCCCCCTATTTGTGTTGGTCGTACTCTTGTAATATTTTGCTCTCCGTGGTCTGTGGGTAGCCAAAATCCATCATCTCGTCCAGCAATTCGTAGATAATGACAAAGTTATCCCGGATACTTTCCTCCTCCAGCACCTTGAAGTATTCCGTGAACACCTCCACGATCTTGTGGAGGAAGAGGAGGATCTCCGTCGCATTGGTATTCCGCTTGGTCAACGCAAGGATGTAAAGGTTGCTGTGTCGGATATAGAGGTACTACAGAATCAGCATTTGTTCCAAGTCCCAGCAAAGCATGTCCAGGGTCCAGAGCGCAGTCGGGGAAGAGGCGGGGAGCGGACACGCAAGCCTCTCAGCCCGCGAGCAACGAGAGGGCGAAACGTACATTGATTCCTTCATGCGAGAAACACGGCGCGACGGCGGAACTTTCTTCTTCGGCTTCGCTGAGGAGGAGGGGGAATTTCTCGACTGCGGACATGGGAATGTCTCCACGGTAATTGCGGGCCAGAAGGGTCTGGCTGTGGTGTCAGTTGCGATCACGGAGAGAGACAGTGCAGCATGAGAATTGAGCATACCTTGCCCTTCAAGTCTAGAAAGAATAGAGCGGATGCCATGGTGTTGTATTAAGAGACGAGGGTTGCGGTAGAAGTGATCGAGAGTACGTGTTGCTCGTTGGGTCGACTCTCCTTAAGGACAACGAAATCAACTATTCTGCTCTAGGCTCTAGGAAGCATCGCCAGCGCGGGCCACGGGATTCGGAGGAGAGGGATATCGGTTGTAATAACAGCCTGGAAGACAGACCAGCTGCTGTGCTGAGAATCAATCAATTTGGATGGAAGAAATGAAATGATGGTGTTGTCAGTAAACCGATGAGTGGATTACCCATGTTCAGCGATTGACAAATCTTTAGATCTAGTAATATAATAAGAGACATGTCATTCATCCGATGGGGTGATGGCGTAGTTGGGAGCGCGTTCGACTGAAGATATTCAAATATACCTTCGGAAAATCGGAAGGTCGCTGGTTCGATCCCGGCTCACC